CTTGGTTTTTGGTTCTTGGTTTTTGGTTCTTGGTTCTTGGTTCTTGGTTTTTGGTACTTGGTTCTTGGTTTTTGGTTTTTGGTTTTTGGTACTTGGTTTTTGGATCTTGGTTTTTGGTTCTTGGTTCTTGGTTTTTGGTTTTTGGTACTTGGTTCTCGGTTCTTGGTTTTCGGTTCTTGGTACTTGATTTTTGGTTCTTGGTTCTTATCTCTTAATCCTTGGTTCTTGGTTCTTGGTTCTTGATTCTAGGTTCTAGGTTCTTGGTCCTTATTTTTTGGTTCTTGGTTCTTGGTTCTTATCTCTTGGTCCTTTGTGCTTGGTTTTTGGTTCTCATATCTTGTTCCTTTGTTCTTGATTCTTGGTTCTTGATCCTTGATTCTAAGATATAGCGTTTCAGAGTCAGAAAAATGATTTAAAATTATTATCAAAAATTCAGTTTCCAAAATTGCCATTAAAATCTCAGTTGAATAATTAATTTATTTTTATCACCAAGACAAGAAATTTTTCATTAACAACCCTCAAACTTCTTTCCAAAAACTCTATTTCCATGTTCCATGTTCCATCAGCAATCGGATCCATATTAATTTTAAGATGCTGCTCATAAATTTTCAAATCAAATTTCACTTTTGAAGAGAATAAAGAAGAAGCAACAAAAGTTTCTCGTTCAGAATCACAACAAATGTATGCTTCAATTAGGATAGCTATTGTGTCATTGTATAAATTTTTTATCCATAAAAGCGGAAACGAAAAACTATTTTATGGTTTTTTGCCATATTTATGTTGTACAATAACGAAATACGAAAAATAAAGAATAGATGAGAGAATTATGATAGTTGTGCTGTAGTTTTCTATTCTAATATCTTTTCATTCACAATATATATATAAATTTACAATTCAAGAGACAAAGAAGGGACAAGTAAATAAATGTTGTTGAGTCGAGAAGGAAGGAATGTAAGCGAAGTTGAGGACGATAAACGGATATTGGTGTCTCATTGCTTTCGTTACACGAGTAGCTATTGCTTAGAGACATAGTATATTTAAACAGACCGTGATCTGATCTTAGATCCGATAAGCTCACTATTCCTCAACGTTTTCGGTAAACGACACACTTTCAGCCATTTTGGAGACTCGAAGGCGAACCAGAACATTAAAAAGCTATGATTGACTATTTGCTCAGGAACTGGGACCCAAGACTACTGGGAATCGAACTCACATTCTTACAAAAGATGGTTATAGATGTCATTTCCGATGCCTTGTCATTCAGTCACTGAGTCCTAAGTCTCGCACCAGCAAATTCTTCTACATATAGCTTGTAACCTCTGATCTTACTTTGTTAAAATATCACGTTAACCAGCAGTCCGACACTTTAACTACAAAAGCCACAAACTTACACAAAAAAGTCCAAAAAAGAAGCTTCAAAAAGAGACAAATTTGCAGAATGTCAATTGTATTGAAATTAAGTAATCCCCATATGCTTATAAACTAAGACAGTAAATATAATAAAATATATTTCTTTATCTCTGTATGAATACATGTGTGGTATGAATATTGAGTATAGATAGAAAAACATTTGTTGGATAGTAGCTGAAGATGTTCACTGAATTTTAATAATCAAATTTTTTTTTTCTTCTTTAGATTTTATTTGGATATCTCCCATATTTTTTATTCCTTAATGCCTCTCCTTATGTTGAACAAACCAAATTGAATGTTTTGTACAAGCTGACAGCAGCATTGCGACAAATAGGCATTGTAGGATAGGATAGGGCAAATTTCATTTCTTATAAAATTGCTGCTTCTGACTTGAAGTTAAGGCACAGCAAAGAAAAAAGGTTTGAAGTTTAAAGTAGCATTTATATGGAACTGGGATATAAAGGAATCTTAATGGTTATTAATGCTGCTGGTGGGCTTGCTTTTGAAGGTTATGGAAATATTAAATTTCTTTATACAGGATATTAAGTTATATGACTTATCTAATTTGCATTTATTTTTGAATTTATTTGGGTTTCGTTTTACTTTCGAGGATCGCGCAAGTAAGAAATTCTTGAGAAAGGTAGATAAACACAAATAATAATGTAGCCCGCAAACATGTGGCTGTTGGATTATTGAGAAAGAAGTTCAATTACCATAAGCATTGTAGCCAACTTAATTTAATTAAAATAAGAAAAATTTATCAGAATAAATTGTAAATTATTGACAGTAATTTGTGAGATCTTAATAAAAATGGGAAAACAAGTTAAAGCTCGCAATCCTGCAGTTATTTTCGAAAAAAAAAATTAAGTTCACTAACACTATCACACATTTTTCTAAAATAAACATTGATGAAAATGAACTTAATTGCAACTCATTTTTTCTTAGAATATGATTACTAGCTTTATTAAGCTTTAATCATTATAATTGAATGTTCTGGATGTACGTTAGGACTTTAATTTTATGATAAAATGGCAAATTTGTAAAAATTATTTTAATAGCGTACGTTCAGAAATTAAAAATTTGAAATTTAACGGTAAAATAAGGGAACTAGGTGACAGAGCCAGCAACAGAGTCTGACTCTGGAAAGCCTTTTGTTGTAACCTAAGCTCCACATAGGAACATGATTACAGCAAATAAGTAAGGGACCTTTTGATTTCTGAACACAATCCATTCTTCACCCCTGGAAGGTTTTATACTTTAACGTTTGTTATCAAAGCTGATTAAAAACTTAAGTGATGGAGAATAGGCGACTGCTTCAGTATCTTCAAATATATCCCTAATAAATGACATCAATAATCCAAATTCAGCCATAAAATTTCACAAGCTTTTCCTTCTGTTTTATTACATAATATTTCAATAAATTGACTTTTATTTTTTGAGTTGACCGCCATTCAACATGTCCTCAAATTTATCGATTTCCAGTGACTGAATCAATAAGAAAAGAAAAAGAAAAAAATTGGATTTATGAAAATGAAATAAAAATCGACATGCTGAATGCAATAAAACGAAAAGAGGGACGAGAAGAGAAATTGATTAACCTGAAAATTTATTGTGTGAACATTGAAGGCTTACTTTTGTTCCTGATGCTATCAATAAGTATTGGAATGTCTGTTGATAATAATAAGTTTATATCAAATGAACCAAATGAGACGTTAAATCAAAAGTAATTTACTTGTTTTTATCATCTGTATAGTTCTACCAATATTATTATCCTCACTACATCCGCACACAATAAATGACTGCAGTAGCATCCATAAAATAAAATTAATGACAGTTTTTTTTTATAAATAAATAAAAATATTGCACAAATATTTACCAACACAATGCGAGAGAAAAATCAATAAAAAATTGCACAAATAAAAGTCAAATTTTTTTGAGTATAATAAAATGTGATGCTGTGCTTAATTTCGCATTTTATTGATGTCCCATAAAAAATTGTACTGTGACAGAATTATCATTTAATTTTTTTCGTAATTTGCTACAATAATAAAATGTTTTAGGGTTGTAAATGAATAGAATTGGATTATTTTCTGATGAATTTGAAAATTATGTGGGATTTACAATTTCTTTATATTTTTAATTATTTTTTGTAATGGAATTTGAACGAGAAAATCAAATTTGAATTTTCAACGAAAAAGTGAAAATTTGATTTAATGGAAAAATTAATTTTGAATTTTTAACGGCAAAATGAAATTAGAATTTTCAACAGAAAAATAAATTTTGAATTTTTTACGGAAGAATAAATTTTGAATTTTATAAAGAAAGATGAAATTTGAATTTTTAACGGTAAAATAAAGTTTGAATTTTCAACAGGAATAGTTTTTTTTGAATATTTAACGAAAGATGAAATTTGAATTTTTAACGGTAAAATAAATTTTGAATATTTAACGAAAGATAAAATTTCAATTTTTAACGGCAATATACATTTTGAATTTTCAACGAAATATGAAATCTGAATTTTGGAGACAAATCTAAAATTTGAATATTTAACGGAAATATTTTGTAAAAAAAATTTAAAAATGATATATCAACCCAAAGCGCTCAATTATAAACTTCATATTGAACATAGTTCCGAACAAATAATAAATTTATACAATTTTCAATTTAAACCCCAAATCCACACAAACATTCTCTTGAAAAAGCCATAAAATTTATTTTTTTATAAACAAACGATCTACGTGGAAGTTAATAAAGTTTTTAAATATTTAAAACAGATTGCAAACACACGCGCATACATAAAATTTCAACACAAATGCTGGCTTTATGCGTGGGTGATTCAAAAAAAAATGGAAATAATATCGGAATTTCATGAATGTTAACAACTGTAACAAACAAAAAAAAAATGTAACATGAAATGAAGCCCCTGTGGCATTATATACGTTTGGCTAAAGTTACTTGTGCTTTTTGGTTTTTTAAATTATACATTTTATATACTTACGTCAGTCAACCAACATTTTTCCACTAATATAGCTCCAAGCTTCCAAGCATTGAAAAGTATATTGTTTGCCTTTTTCAACTCAACTTTTTTTTTTCATCTTTGAATTCATATTATTTTCCACCATAATGAGCTTGTTATGAGCATTCAGCTGAGATTTTTTTTTTGGTTTTTAACTTTTTTTGATGAATTATTTTGATTTTGAAATATTTTACATCCATCAGTTGCACGCATTTGAAGCTTAATTTTGTATTTTTTGATGATGATGGATGCCAATTTGATTTTGATGATTCTATTCTTTGCTAATATATGCAATAGGCTTGCCAGAAATCTTTAACAAGCTAGGATAGGGGCCGTTCACTTATGACGTCCAGGGGGGGGGGGGGGGGGGGGGGGGGGGGGGGTCAACAAGAAAAGAACAATAGAAATTCCAGGAAATCAATTGTTCTTTTTTGAAAAATGACCGTTAATTTTGGACGTCCTAAGTGAACGACCCCATATTGTAAATCAGAACTTTTTTAATTTTTGTAGCTATGAAAAACTACGGATTCATTTTTTTCAATTTATTAAACTTTTAATAATAAACTTTTAAACCGGGGATGTTCATAAATGACGTTTATTGAACAATTAAATTTTAAACAGCTTCGCTTTACTTGCTACAACATATTCATATAAAAATTCATTTCTAATGGTAGCCTCGCTTAGAAACAGACCCCAATCTCTTAAAAAGTTTTACATCATTTACGAATAGCCCCCACTAATATTGAAAGTTTCAATTAAAAAATATATTATCGTAAACACTGAATAATTGCTGTACGTAGTTCCTCTTTTATTTTTAAATACGTTGCATTATTAAATTTACTATTTGCACAGTTTGGAATCAAATCGATTTCTTTCTGGAAGTTTCTAACGATTGAGCTAGTTGCGTCTGCTGCTTGAGATGTTGTTTTCAGTACCAATAGATGAGTTTTTGGACAATACTGAAAATAAATAAAATATTTAATGTTTTCTAATTGTGTGATTAGTGATATTGATTTTTGATGCTCTATGTGCTTGCATACTTCATTAAGGGGAGTGGGAGTGGGAACTTCACTTTTTGATATACGTAATTAATCAACGACTCTTTTGATTTTCAAATAATTTATATTAAAAATTGAGCGAAGCTTAGATCTTCCTTTAACTGCTATATGTATTGTTTTAGCTAATGTTAATTAAGTTGGATTTGATAGGAATCGAACTCGCAACCTCAAAAGAGTAGACTCCGACTACTTAGTTGAAGATTTCTATCATTCTGCCACCGAGGTTCTTATCTTCTTATAGCAATTCATCATACACATAAAACTAGCTTCATCAACAGCCCTATGCTCAGGATTATCTCCTCTAAATATGCACCTTTAACCACATTCACATATCGATTACAACCTTACCTTTCTCAAACAAACTAAATCTTGATTGCATATTGTAAATTTTTCAGCAGTATCCTTATAAAGTGCAGCAATAAGATCAGCATATCGAGTTGTATCTTGATAACTAATAGACATGTTATAACAATCTAAGACATTAGTAAAAGCCGTTTCAATTAGCTTCAAAACTTGTGGAGTATATTGATTGGCACATGAAATAAATTGATCCTTCTTTCCTCTTGGAAATCTTAAGGCAGCGGTGATTGGTGTCACTAATGTTGTTTCTACATCACGTCTAAATGGCTCAATCCACTTTAAATAAACATTTTTAAATGCATTATCGATTTTGGGATGTTCAGCATCTATCCATAATTTGACAACACCATTAAGTGCTGTTTGGAATTCCTCATATGCTGTCAATTGATCAACTGAACAGTCATCTTGATACAAATTGTACAATTCTTCTCTCTCAAGATCACGAAAAATGTTTCCACTTTCATCATCCAACTTGTCTCTTGTTGCCTCATTAAAATTTAACAATGTCTCGTTAACTGTTCGACTAAGATCATCAAATGCTTCATTGACCTCAGCTAAGACCTTTTCTGGTGTATCAAAGTTGATGTTTGCAACACTTGTGGTTGTTTTCTCAGTTGTTTCAGGATCTTTTGGAATAACTGTTGTTGTAGTGATGTCATGAATTATCATTGTTGATGTTTGTTCAGCTTCTTCATCCTGCGAGTAGCATACATGGACATAAATCTACAAAAAAGTAATCAGCATAAGTTTTATAAGGAAAATTAATTTTTTTTACTTACAAAAATTATAAAAAATGTTTTTAGGTTCATTTTTCAGCAATGCAAATATTAAACTTTTCTGCTTTCTGTCGAAATAACAACTGAAAGTTTTGTTATTGAGTAAAATTTGTCAAAGCTTCTGTACAGACTCATTTAAACAATGACTCATCTTTTTTTGCATCTGTTTTATGTCAATCATTGGAAGTTTATGGGAAAAAATAGGCCATGTATGGCCATGCATGGCCATGGAAAAATTTAAAACGAAGTTTTAGGTTCATAAGGGGCTGTTCACTTATTACGTAACGCGAAAAAATGACTTTTTAGACCCCCCCCCCCGTAACAAAATTTGTATGAAAAAAAAATTTCCTTGTTTGAACCGTAACAAAATCTTAGACCCCCCCCTCCCCCTAAAAGCGTTACGTAATAAGTGAATGGCCCCTAAGCAAAAAAAAAATGAAAATCTTGTTCCTAAAATGTTTTTGGACAGTCCTAGAACTAGAACTTGAACAAACTATTCTCAGAATATCCAGGTTTAACCTACCCGAATTTCAAAAGTCGGTTAATCGATCAGAAATCCGACACTAAACCGGTGTGACTCTAGCATGGTGCTGGATTTAATTCAAAGCCTGCACAACACGAGTTTGCGCCAGATTTCTATTCAATCAACCGACTTGGGCTAATTGGGATAGAGATAGGTGTAGACAAAAGATAAGTTAAAGTACACACCGATAACTCCTGTATTAAGTACAACTTTAAAAAAATAATTTATTGTGGGACATACAGGTACAGCATTGATAGGCCACATATGTTTTTCAATATTAATTATTTGAACAAATTTTATTAATTTAAATAGGGTGCCAAAACATTATTACCGGTTTAATTCCAATAATATTTAAAATTGATAGTATAAGCAAAGTAAAAAGTTACTAGTATGGATATAGCCAGAAGGGGACCAAGATTTTAAAACTTTAGTATGACTACTAATATCCCATCTCCTAAACTATGAAGCTTGGAAAACATTGTCATTTTTTAATAGATATAGCAATGCACTAGGCATTGCCTAGTCTAGGCTAGTCGCTTAATCGATCAGAATTCTGATACGGAGTCAGTGTGACTCTGGCTTGATGCTGGATTTAAACAGAAGCCAGAATTATGACAGAGTCATGTAGGGTGGTAATTTGCAAACTGCGTCAAGTGAAAGCGTTAGTTTTGAAACAAACTTAAGAGAGCTTAAAGAGAGGCTAGACTATCTATCCAGTGTGAGGTTTTATATATGAAAAAACCGGATCAAAATTTAAATTGTAAGTCCATCGCATTGAAACCCCTAAAACTTCACCGCATCCAGAAAATGTTTATATTTTAAAACAGCTGCTTTTAGTAAGTAAAATAATCAGTTACTAAACAGTCCAATATTTTAATTATAATTAAACTCTAAAGACATGATCAAGTCATTTAATTTATTAATCATAATTTTACTATTGGTCTCTTATTCGAACTCGTGTTCTGACAAAACAAATGACATTCACATTCTAATATCAAATTTAGAAGATGCAGGCACTGTGATGGAAATGAAATTAAGAATTCAATTTTATGGATTTATTAGTGATAGAATGAAAAGCGTTGGTACTCTTTTGAGTGGTCTTAAAACTTTGCAGAATTTATTGCCGACAGATTTATGTAAATATCAATCGGTTGAAGTTGGCATTAATGTGGTCCATGCTATGAACACCTTTATTGATACAGTCAGAAAGAATTTACTGTACGCAGTAAAATCAGCTTTAGATGATGCAAGAGATGATCAATCGAACAGTATGTTCAATTTCATCATTTACTTTAACGATCTAGTCGATATGATTGGAATTCAATCGAAAAGTTTATTTAATGATGGAAGAGGCTGTGTAATGGATATGGAAGGAGAAATAAAAAAATATATGGATGTAAGCTCAAAGAAGGTTGTCGAATGTTTTCAAAATGTTTCCATATCGCGTCCTATAATACCCACGAATTTTAAAACTCATCAAGACGACTTGAATACAGCAATGCGAATGATTAATTATAAGTTGAGGGAACCATTCTACTATATTTGGATGTACTCAACGAAATTACAAAATGACACAGCTGCAGAAAGGTTCAACAAAGTAAGTTTATCAAAGATCTGGGTTCGATGACAAATGACATGAAGACTAGTGCATATTAATTGTTGCTTAGGAGGTTAAAAAGAGATCAAAGGGTATCAATGAGGATCAAACAGGTTCAATGGGGTTTGGAGATGTTTAACTAGGTTTAAGAGGTTCAATTGAACTGAAATGAGTTTCAGGAGATTCAAAAGGGCTTAATTGAGGAAAAGGGGTTTTAACAATAAATGATCTTAGTGAGTCTCAGCCAATTTCCCATTAAGATTGAGGTTTTAAATTCCTTTTGTCCTCATTGAATCCTAAAAAACTTTTGAGCACACTCTTATCAAGTTAATCGTCATTAGTGAACAACCCTAGCGTAATTATAAATCACTCAAATTTCATAAATATTGCATTTTAATTTTAGTATTGTCAGAGCATGTTCCCTACTATTTTGGATATTGGCAAGAAGATATCAAAAGCTGGTCTCGAAATCATAAATGCACTGGAAGCTAATAACAATTCATTTAAGTCATGCTTAAATCGTCTGAATGCAACCTTTATTACTGTTAAACAACATGAGATTCTTAATCAAGTTAATGACGTTTGCAGCATGGCTAATGTATGAAATTGTAAATCTATTCAAAAAAATTTAAATAAATATTAAGTTTTGTCAAAACTCTATGTTTATGAATTTATTCAGCTTAAAAATATTTCAATATAATCAAAGTTTGAGTTTAAAAACTTCAAAATATTCATCGAGTCTGATTTTAAAATTTTTGCGTATCTCAAATTCCAAAAACAAAACATCATCAAAAACCTCATTTTTCATTCATGACATTATCAATTTTTCAAAGCTAAACATTGATTTTATTGTCGCATGTTATAAAATTTATATTGCTTTAAATGCATAAATGAATTTAAATGTGTGCGTATGAATGTTGGATGAGGCAAGAAGAGTTATGAAATATGTTTATTGGAAAATATTAAATTTTTTCGAGATTTTCATGACAAAGAAGCTTTAAAAAATTACAAAAGTCCTCGTGTTATTGAGCGAGGGATTTCAGCGCATTTTTGACACAGTGATTAGAATTTTTTAAAAGCGTGTAAAATAAAGCCAATATAAAAATATAGATAAATGTTTTCAAACAATAAAATTCAAAAAAAAATAATTTAACGATTTTTTGAGATTCAATTCTTTAGAATTTTTGAATGCACAATGAAATAACGGTAGAAAAATATTCAAATTTCTAAACACACTCATCACGTGTTTTGCATATGAAATAGAAAAATCATTGATTATAGTATAAATACATGGTTTGAAGACTTTCAACCTTTTGATGGATTGACAAACGGTAGTAACGGAGCTAATAAAATAAACCCGAGCTCTTTACGCACTGGCTACCTCAATACCTTCCTTTCTATTGACTGTACGCTGATAAACCAACATCCAATAACCTCGAATAATATTATTTATTAAAATTCCTAACAAACTTTTGAAAAAGTATAAAGTTTCATGACTCTTAAATTATTCAACATCTAATAAAGTTATGAAATTGATTTTCCCACTCAATGAAATCAGAAACCCTTTATTTCCTTACAGTTTACACAACAATTTTCATTAACAATTTTTTTAATTAACTTTTCACAGTCATCAAGTTCTTGGAATTTAATCCGAGCTTGTTATACACTTTGTTTAATCTGAATCGATAACTATGAACATGAAAAGAGAAGAAGAAAAAAATGTAATTACGAAGATTAATAAAATGGAGAAGAAGAAGAAAAAAATTAGCAATTTTAAAGGATTTCTTGTGCTGATTCAATAAGCTGACCTTTCTCATGATTTGCTCGAACGACAAATTCAGCAAAATCACTTCTTATTGAATATATTCAAATGTGATTTAAATTGAATGTATAATATTGTATCATACATTATAAGCAATATGCAAAATGGGATGAAAAAAGATGAGCTTCGATGAATAAGAAGGAAAAAAGAAAAAAAAAAATGTCAAGCAATTGAACTTTTCCATTTCATAGCTCACATGAAATTCTTTTTAAATACATTTTACATTTTTCATCTTTTTTCTCCACTTGGTTTCTCTCTCTTTTTCAAATGGGGCATTCAGAAATTGCGTGACAAAACGACTTCTTAGACACAATTGCTTGTCATGAAGCTTGTTAAAATTAAACCCTAAATACCTTAAAGTGTGACTTAATAAATGAACGACTCCCATCTACATTCGCTTATCTTTATCCTTCTTTTTATGTGAACAAATTGATGTGGATGTGTTTTCTCTATAGAACGATGAAATAAGAATTTTTAAAGCACATCTTCTTTCATGTGATGTGCACTATGTGATTTATTTGTGTGCTGTTGTCCTGTATGAGTTAAATTTGTCTAGAAAAAAGAACTCGTCAAACTTAGTTCTTCTAGAAGACTTCTTAGATTATTTATTGAGCAGAGACACATCATTAATAAATATCCTCTTATTATCCTTCAGCTGAAGTGGCTTGATGGCGGAATGGTTTAGTACTTCGGTACCTAATTATTGCAATACTGACACACCGATCCTGGGTTCGAGACTGGCTCGATCAGCATGCATTGAAATGTTTTGTATTGCTTCAGTCGCTTGAAAGTCATTTCCAACTAGATGCCAAGTGTTTGCAGCTTAGTTTTAATTATTCTATCAACCCAGCTGACAAACATTTCAATAAATTTCAATGTGTGTCTGTCGGGTGGGTACCTTTTTTGAATCATATGTACTGAAAATGAGGCTCACAGCTTTCCTTTTTAGGCTACAGGCAGAAATTTCATCAAAGAAGTAGTTCGGATTCCACTATAAATTGTAAGTTTAGGTTTGAGTGCTGTGGTTTTGGTGCATTCTCGAGTGTTAATCCATTAGCTGCGAATCGAACTAACGCACCTCTGGATTAGAATTGACCTGCATAGGCAAAGGTTCAGCTTTGATTGAGTTTCAAAATAGGGATCGTTCACTAAGTGACGTCATTAAAAAACATGAACTTTAGATTCCCTACAAATCCTCTGGATTCCAATTAATCCTTTTTTTCATCAACCTTGACAAAAGCGTTTAAGGACCTCATCAAATCAAATCCAAATATGATAATTTCACTTACTTCTTTATCCTTCAACATACAAACTTTTTTTTCGGCGCTTTTAGTTCTAGAGATTTTGTGGGAAGAAAGACTGATGGAAAAGGGTTTGACATGCAAAAATGGATTATTGGATTTTGAGATTATTACATGATTACTATCTATCAATGAAATGAATCTTTATCGCACCTAAATCACTTGGATATTTTCATCACATCATTTATATTGTCAAAGTCGTTTGTTTTCAGCAGATTTTTGGAATTACGAGGACTTTTTAAATATTACAGAATTTGTATTGCACACTTTCAATGCTTTACATGTTCTTTAAACTCAAATCTTAATGCTACATCCTCAATTTGCATATAAAATTGCATAATACTCGACTATCAAAATTTACAAAGTCATCTGATGCATACGAAAAATTTTCATTTCATTTATTCTTTTCATTTTTGTGCTGAGCACATAAAAAGTTTAATTATTTGAAGGATCAAAAAGATTTCCTCAAAGCTGGCTTTTTTCCGCTTCTTCATAAAGATTCACACAGAAACTTTTTCCTGCCCTAGTACAGATTAAAACTCAAGAAATCGTGCTTCGAGTTCAAATGTCGTAATAATAAGTAATAGTCGTAGTTTTGCCTTTCTCCACTCTGTAAGAGCATTTCATACACTTATTTAGTTATCCATTTAATATTTTCTTTTTTGTTCTTGCTAGTTTTATTCATCCATTGTCTTATGAAGTTAGTCTGGGAGAAAGTTTTTGGTGCATGGATGGAATGTTTTTTTCACTGATGGAAAAATAATATTTTTTTGATTTTTTGTGGAGTTGGTTCTGGTATAATCAAGAGCTCAAAGTCGATGGAATCTTGTATGGAGTTGAGTCGATTTGGAGCAAAGGTTGGGAACTGAAGAATTACAATTTGATCATTTTTTTGATAATTTTTGATCATTTTTGGAGTCGCCAAACAAAATCGATAAAAATCTCTAGTCAATTTCGAGCTCTGGTATAATCCATTAAAGTTGGTGCCATATGTTTATGGATTAAGATTATTGGCTTTTGATATTATCCATAGATTATTTGGTATTGTATCTTAAGCAAGGGTCCAGAACTGATGAAATGATCAAAAATGATCAAAAATAATCAAAATCGATCCAATATGGTCAAAATGTAATTTTTCAGTCCCGCATCCTTGGTTTTAACTTGAAAATCGGTTTATAGCAGATATTAAATCTTGTAATAATTTGTGTTTTTCCAGGGGTTGAAAATATGAATACAACCAACAATTTTATTGTAGGGTCAATCAACACTTCAGGGGGCGTGGTAAGAGAGAGAGGGGGGGGGGGGGGGTTGTTCGCATCAAAACCACCTTCCTATTTACAGAAAGTTAGCACTAGATATTACCAGAGGTCGAAGCCGACATGAGTTCGCTCCGGTTCGCTAAAAAACCGATTCAAATTTGAATAGATTTTTTTCTGCTGCCACTTGTGAAGTACAACATTTTATACAACTTTACCGGTTTTTTAGCGAACCGGAGCGAACTCATGTCGGCTTCGACCTCTGGATATTACTGAACTTTAGATCTAAACCAAAGAAAAGTTGGACCCCCCCTTCAAATATTTTCTGGCAACACTCCTGGCGAGCTCACTATTTGGAGAGAGATTTTAAAGTCCCATTGGATATTTCTATAGAAAGGAGATGTTGAATTGAATTCTGATCTACTTAAACTATGATCAGGGGCGTTTGAAAAAATGTTAATTCTTTGTTTGCTTGTCAAGTAATGCAAGTTTACAACCAGAGATGGCGAACAGTCCTTATTTTTGTGTTCAGAAATATTAAAGTAGCTTACTTTTCCGTTAAATTTTAAAATTTGAATTTCTAAACGTACGCAAACCTTAACTTTAATCATTTGGATTCATTCTCTATTAATCACACCTAGTCGTTTAAAAAAAATCAATTCAAATCGTTATTCAGTAGAATTTTAAAATCTTTTTCATATTAACACAAATTCCTTTTATTCATTGACTTAAAAGAAGAATAGAAGAAGTTTCTTCCCACAGTGCGTACAGCCAGAAAGCATTAAGAAACTTTTTACTGTTTTTAAAGAACCACAATTTTATAATTTTATCTTAAACCAGATTGCAAGTTGAAAGTTTTTCTAAAGCAGCTCTTCCTTAAATGAAGAAGTAAAAGCAGCAGCAAATATAAAAATCACAGAAAGATGAGCAAAAATTTTTTTTCTTTATTTAGGATTAGGAAGGCTCTCTGGCTAATGTCACGCAATGTTTAATGTACAAACATTTCCCTTTATATTGTGCAAACAAAAAAGGTATGTTTTAAGCACATCGTTATGTAGAATGTTTCACATAACCACAGGTCTATTTTTTGTCATTTTCCTAGCTTATGCTTTTATGCTAAAGCACTTAATTTCTTTTCTCGTTAATCTATTTACCTGCTTTCTATTTTGTTATTGTATTACTGCCCTCATGCTTGTTCTCTCTCTCACACACACTTTGCGTTCGGCAATAAGATGACCCAATTTATGTACAAGTGTTTTTATAGCATTTGATGAAATTTTCAACACATACCAAAGGGCTATGAGAATTAACTGCTCGTGAAGAAAGAAATCTTTGTTATTGAGAAAGTGTTGTTTTACCCATGAATGGTAGCCCCTTTTTTAACATCTCTTTTGGGAAGGTAAATTACCAATGCTAGCAAACAGAAATTTTTGAGTTCTTATTATTCGAACTTCGAATTTTCGAGGTTCTTATTTTTCGAAAATCGAATCTTCGAAGTTCTTATTTTTAAAGAAATTCGTTGTGAATTATTATTTTTCGTGTAATTTGTAATTTTAGTGAACATTTCTACTAGTTTTTATGATTTAAATAATCACTGTGATGAAATTGCATTCCTTAAATGTTAATGCTTTAAAAAACACCTAGTTTAAAAAAAAATAAAAAGTAACGGACTTTCTTATTTTGAAATTTTAAAAAAATACCGCGCGAAAATTTTGAATTTTTTTTGTTTGTAACGGACTCTGTTCTCTTTGCTAACATTGGGTAAATTAGTGTTGTAAATGGAATGAGGCGCTTTGGGTTGCAAGTCATAAAATTAAAACTGTTTAAATTTTTCTTCTGCTTTGAACTTTATGAAACCGTTACATTTTGACTTTAGAGATCCGCTAATTTTTGAATTTTTAAGAACAGCTAATTTTTGAATTTTTAAAAACCGTTAATTTTTGAATTTTGAAAACCCGGTTATTTTTGAATTCTGAAAAATTGCCAATTTTTGAATTTTGATAAACCGTTAAATTTGACAATGGAGTTAATTTTTTCAAATCCCAATAAATTCCTTTCAAAAAGCTCAATTTAAGCATTTTGCATTAATATTTTAAAATTTCAATTTGAACTAGTATTGGAACTAATGCAATTCAATGTTCAACTTAGCTTGTCATGCAAACAAATTAATTATAAAATGTTTAACGTCCTTGACTAAAATGACATAAGATATTGAAGACTACTCAAAGAACAAGCTAACGATCGACCTAAGATAATATTTTTTTGCTGAGTTCATGCCGATCATGGAAATTGTATTTCTCAAGCTAAGCCAACATCCAAGATACATGTATAAAATGTCAGATATCAAATGAAGGTATCTAAGAAATTGAACAAGTGAGAATTTACCTTGTCGAGTCTTTTATTTTTCCTTGCTGTGAAAAATAATCAAATTAATTGGATATTCTCGAAATTGCAGTTACAGAATAATTTGATAAAATGATTTTTAGTTGTAAAGCTTCATCGTTTTGTTTTGAAACTTTTCTTCCTTAAAAATAATGCAGATAAAAGGTAATGGAATGAAGATAGAAATATAATAAATAAATTAATAAGAAATAAGCGGAACTAGAAAAGGGCCGTTCACTTATGACGTCCAGAGGGGGGGGGGGGGGGGTGTTCAGCAAGAAAAGAATAATAAAAATTCCTGGAAATCCATTGTTCTTTTTTGAAAAATGACCGTTAATTTCGGACGTCATAAGTGAACGACTCCAAAGGCGTTTGTTGATTTGGAGGATTTAATGAGCATTTGATTTTTGGGGTCATCAGAAAAAAAAAATCCAGACCAGCTTCTTTTCATCTTATGTTATTGGGTTCATACAGACTAGTAAAGAAGCCGCCTTTAGAGATGTGAACGGACGAACTAAGCGCATTTACCTCTCATAGATAATTAAAAATCCTAATTAGTTTTATGCAAGATTATCATATATCAGCTTTCGAATGCAAAAAACTAAAAGTCTCTAAGTGCTCCCAGTTCCGAGTTTTAAGGCAGCCAGCTAGCCAAAGTGGACCTTTAAACGCATAGTTTCCTATGGAAAATGCTGTTTGTCTTAGCTTCGCCCCGAGTTAGACATCATCCACTTTTGACGCCCATCATTTAGGAGAGAGACAAGAGGTTTGAGATTTTGATAAACTATAAATCTGGAAAACCACAATTTCCCATTTTCTTTGAGTCAAAACGTTTATTCTGTCAAGGAACAACTTGCTTTCAAAAACTTTTTATAGCGCTCAATTTATGATAATTCGTTGAGCGTTCTGGTCAATAAAGAAAATCTTATCGTTTTCTCCCTTTGTTATCTTTCCTTTTTTTAGGAATTTTCTCCTTTCAATTTCTCATTGATCCCTATTTGTGGATGTGGGAAGATGCTATATTAAAGGAAGAATACTGATTTTGTTTTTATAAAACCTATCAAAATAAAGTAAAATTGTGAAGAGATGAAGGAAAAAATTATCTGAAGGAATGGTTTGTTTGTAAATGACGTACAATGTTACGAAAGTCTTGAGGGGGGGGGGGGGGGATGTTGAGCTTGAACAGAACCTTTAGAATCGAAAACTTAATAAAAAGGATAGATAAGTATTGTATGAAAAAAAAAAAGTTTTTGGACTTTCCCGAAACCTTTTTTCCCATGCGACTATAGACTGTAGACATCATTAATGAACAGCACATAAAATATCGATTGATTGTGTCTTACAGAAGCACATTTTAGATTACAAAATTTCAACATGCACAAAATAAGTTTGATCACGTTTGACACATTCGACATGTAATTAAGAACACATGCCTACCATTTATTTTACACACATGTAAAATCTACAAAAAATGTCTCGAATTAAAAATTTTCAATTAGTTTTAATTAATTTAAAATTACTAATTGTTTAAAAAACAAAAAAAAGTAATTATTGTGCTCTTATGTACGATGAAAACTTTTATTTTATTTTTTCAATTTGAAAGTTTTTAATTGAATTTTTTTCATCCATTTGATTCTCATTCTCATCGCTTGTCCCATTTCAGGTGTTTTATTGTGCATATAATTTTCACAACTTTCCATTCACTTCCTTCCCATTTTAATGCCGTTGCTGTGTTGCTTTTGTTGTAAAATATTCCTGAATATCATTTAAACTTTTACCATAAGTCTCAGGTAGAAAATAATGTACAAAAATGCAAAAGGCGAAGCTGCTTATGGCGAATAAATAGAACATGACCTCCATATCGTACATGTTGAGTGAATAAGGAAAAAATTTTACAGCAAAAAACATGAAAAAGTATGCGATGAGCACTAAAATCCCCGACATTTTTCCCTTTACCTATTTTTTTTAGACGTTGAAATTTTGTGTGTGCGGGTGCATGCATTGAAGATATTGTGAGAACATCAGCATCATCCATTTGTGGAAAAATAACATCATGAACCGAGAATGGAATGAATAAGAAGAGCAAAATATAGAAATCGGTTAGGAAAATGAATGAGTAAGGAGGTGATATAGTGTGATGGTGATATATTGATTAAGTGCGCATAAAAGCTCATTATTTTGTTACATAAATATTTTAAAAATATGTTAAAAGTAATTTTTACAAAAAAGCTTCAACATCACGTTTTGTCAAAAAGCTCAATTATTTCGTCAGAAAGCTCAATTTTTTGTCAAAAAGCTCAATTATTTTGTCAGAAAGCTCAACTATTTGTCAAAAGATCAATTATCTGTCAAAAAGCTTCTTTATTTTGTCAAAAAGTTCAATGATTTTGTCAGAAAGCTCAACTATTTGTCAAAAGATCAATTATCTGTCAAAAAGCTTCTTTATTTTGTCAAAAAGTTCATTGATTTTGTCAGAAAGCTCAGCTTTTGGTCAAAAGGCTCAGATATTTGTCAAAAATCTCATTAATTTGGTCAAAAGGCTCAATTATTTTGTCAAAATTCTATTTTAATTTTTTTCAATATTTTAAAAGCTTAGATCTTCAAAGCTTAAAGTTTTGATTTCAAAAATTCTAATAATTGACATTTGTATAGCATCCGTATCTTCAGATAACATGCAACCCCAAACCGACCACACCAAACCTTTATCTTCATCAAAAGTTGTGTGTAAATACAGGAAGCGTAGTACATTGAGTAAGGATAAAGCAAGAATAGAATATTGAATCTATTTTAAGCGTATAACACCATCAATATAAAAGCATATCAGGTTGTCGTCATCATCCTTACCTCAATAGGAAATAATTCACTGATTAATGTCCAAGGTAAAATCATTACACCTAAGCTTGAAAAGGATATGTAACATAATATTGAGATAAGTAAATAAACTTCTTTATATTCTTGTTGTTGTTGCTGTTGTCCGGAAAGCTGATATGCCATATCGATCTCGTTTACCTTCAAACTGTCATTTGATGGTATTTGGAAATTTAGAAAGTCTCGTCCATTTGAAAACTCGTCCATATTTCGCACCAATGTGCCTGCTATAAAAATGAATATCATCATCCCTAAGCTTGAAATGTAAAGCAGAGTTTTTCTATGGCATTTTCTTGATAACCTGATGTTGAATATATATACATTTTTTACGCCGTACATTCCAGTCGTTATTAGATTTTTTTTTTGTATTATGTTCAGCATGATGGAAAGTTATGAGGAAGAGATTTAAAGAAAATGAGAGAATATTAGCGAGGAATTAAGGATTAGTAAAAGTGTAATGGTAATAAATTTAATTTTTTTTTGTTCTGTGCTTTTCGATACTTGTAAGTTGGATAAGTTGCCAGCTAGTAATAATAACATACTGAACTAGACAGGGGGAATTCATGATAATGGTGGAAATTTGGTGACTAAATAATCTGTAAAAGCTATCAAGGTTGTAGCCAAATTTATGAGGGTCTATGAGGTTCTATGAGGGTCTATGAGGATCTATGAGGGTCTATGAAGGTCCATGAGGATCCATAAGGATCTATGAGGGTCTATGAGAGTCTATGAGGATCCATGAGGGTCTATGAGGGTCTATGAGGGTCTATGAAGGTCCATGAGGGTCTATGAGGGTCTATTAGGTTCTTTAAGAGTCCATGAGGGTCTATGAGAGTCTATGAAGGTTCATTAGGGTCTATGAGGGTCTTTGAGGGTCTATGAAGGTCCATGAGGGTCTATGAGGATCCATTAGGGGCTATGAGGGTCTATGTTGGTCTATGAGGATCCATGAGGGTCTATGAGGGTCGTTGAGGGTGTTTGAGAAGTCAAGGAGACCTACGATGTACACGGATAAATATGAAGCTACTCAAGTTGCAACATTAAAGAAAAAATAAATTTTTCACACTAACTTCTATAGTGCCACATCACGTTTCCTATAAATAAGAAATAATTACAGGTAGAGTCTACCTAAGAAACCTCTATTCAAGTCAAGAAATTGCACATTATACATGCTTGCTCGTTATAAGCTCGCCTTAAATTTACACCTTAATTTTCTCCATTTTCCTATTACAAAGCACATGAAAAGCAGAGAGAAAAAGTATTATTATTACCCAGAAGCAATTACAGACACGACCAGACGTAGTCCTCCGAGCAACATGAGTGCCATATTTTCATTTATTCTTTCAGTAAAGTTAGAGCTCAAATTTCGAAATATATTTATAGTGTAAAAAATAAGAATATAGCTGCCTGAAGCTTGTTGGAATAGGAATATAAAGAGTAAAATTATCAGCGGTTTGTAGACTTGTGGCTGCTTTAAAACTTTTACCAATTTTGCCACCAAACTTTTCCTTTTTCCTACATCTGCTGCTGTAGCCACTTGAAAATTAGCCTCCCTTAATTTTTCACTATTAATTAATTGGTGATAGTAGAATGTAGATAGCTATTGATAGAGAAATGAAAGGGTTGAATATGTTGTAAAGTACAATATGGAAAGGAAAAAGTTTTCTTTGAGATAAAAAGTTTCATAAAATTTTCTTTTAAAGTCTGTTTTGAATGAACAACAATTTTTAAGAATCTAGAGCAATTCTCATATCAAGTTTGAGTTTGTTGAACATTTAAAGCATTTTTTAAAGATTCGAAAAATTGAAATTCAAGCAGATTTTTAAAAATTCAAATTTTAACGGATTTTAAAAATTCAAATTTTAACTTCTTCTAAAGTTTCAAATTTTTAAAGCCTTATGAAATTCAAATTTAACCGAATTTTCAACTTTTATCTTTTCATAAATGTAAATCTTCGCTGATAATCAAGAAAAAAAAAATATTCAAAATTACATGACGTCTCCGATAGATCCACTCAATTGATGCCAATGCCTTAGAATTGCTCCTCTCACGACTTAATGAAACAAACCAACATGGACTCTCAGGAATTTGCATAACAATAACAATTGTTATAAGCGCGATAAAAGCAAATATAAAGCTCATTGTACGCCATGAGAAGAAGATATTTAGAAAATATGTGAGTATGATGCCAAACGATACAGCTATACTGTTTAAACACAATAACATGCCTCGGTACTGAGGATTTGAAATCTCGCTAACATAAACCAGCGCAACAGTTACTAAGCCTAAAAGCAAGAAAAAAAGAGAGATCTTTTGTTAGGTACGAATATTATTTTGTGTGAAAGAATTTATACGTAACTAGAGAACAAGAAGAATAACAATAACAATATTGGACTGTTGCTATGTCTTCAATTATAATTAATTAATTTATTTAGCTAGGAGAGAAAATATCGACTTTCCATAGCTTATAAAATTCGTGTGCAGATACTTCCCCGAAACAATTAATTTATTTATAGACCAAGAAAATTGTTGTCCAATCTTTTGTACCGTAATCATTTCCACAACAACAAAATATGGCATTTAACTACCTTGAGGGTAGTTGAAGCTTTACATGACATAACGATTTTGAAGCTTTATTATGAGAATATTGACTCCTACTCATAAGATTATGTTAAAATTTGATGTTTGATACTTATGCATGCTGTTTGTTTGTACAGGATATGGCATGGACTGTCCTGCTGTTTTCAGGTCATGTCCTGCCTATAGATACTTAATAATCTATAAATTATATCAAATTAAACCGTTACAAGATAAAATAGTCAATTTTCAAACAACTAGTCTCAAGTGAGAATCGAACTTGCTTCCTTATGAATTTCTATCGCATACTTTTCGAGCTGACCTATCGATGGATGTCAATTAGCTTGACAGAATACTAGCTTAAACTACTTTCTACACTGAACAGTCTATTAGATACTTTGAATCTCTGCCAACATCCTCAAAAATAATATTTAAGCATTTTTCAACGAATTAAACTTTTTTAATCAAGAATAAAAATGTTTGAATATTCCCACTGGATGGGATTTGGTTATAATTCTCATTATTGAATAAATATTCATACATAAATATGATACATACCACCAGCAATGCCCGATAAGACTCGAGCCACATAAATCATATAAAGATTTCTCGAGAGGGCAATTAGCAGCCAGGCGAATATAAATGGTATGCAAATTATTGTCGATAGGCGCCTGAAAATGAAGTAATTTTAACAGCAGACTGAATAATGTACACATGGATGTGAAAGGTAAATTTTAATTAGAGTCTCTCACTGCTTCCAGTATTTGCACTTACATGCATAATATTTGCTTACCTTCTACCATATCTATCCATCAGTGGACCACAAACAAGAGCCCCGAGTGCAGTTGACACAGTGACGATTGACGCAACAGTTGAAGATGAATCGAGATCGATTTGAATGTCACTCTCAGGTTTTGTTAATTGTGGTATGAGAATCGATGAGAATGTCAAATTGATGCCAGCATGAATGACTGGTAGGTTAATGGCACAACTTGCCACAATTTGTGGAATGGTGTCTCTAAATTTAAGTCTTTCATCGCCATCACTTGCTCTTGGTTTTAGATCATCACTCTCTGTATTGACATTAAGCTGTTCAATCTCATTTGTCGTCATTATTGCACTCACATAAAGTTTTCAAGATAGATGCTGAATGTCAACACAGTTTTGGTTCACTATTTTTTAAAGCTTACTGCTCATTTGATAGAAAAAGATTATTTTGACTCGACTGACTTTACAGAATGAAAAGTAATTCAGAATTAAAAATTTATCGCAAGTATTATTTTTGCTTTATCATCACTATCTTATCATAATTAGCTCGTACGAGAGTCGTAGACAATAGGAGAAAAGAACCTTATCATCACATTTATTCGTCACACTTCAAAGGTCATTTTAGTAATGTTTAATATTAGATGATATGAAGATAGCGGGAATTAACTCGACAATTAAAGCTTATTACTAAGTTTGTGTATTAAATCATTCTTATCTGGAACAACTGTCCTTAGTCGTAGACATTTTAATCAAAATATACTTTTTGAAATCAAAACAAATTGAAATTGTTTAATGAAGTTGAGACATTGTAGTCGTGAACAAGTTTCAAAATGTCATGGGAGGGATTTGGTGTGGTCCAGAGATACGTTGGGGCATTTCGCAGTTTATGAGAGTTTAACGAGTTAAGATTCGCTAGACCTCTGAACTCAAACTTAAAACTACAACTTATAGTGGAATCCGAACCATTCCTTTAATGTCATTACTGTCTGTAGCCTGCAAAAGAAGACCATGAGCTTTTCTTCGAGTCCATTCAAGTTCAAAAAAAAACAAATGAACAATTTTTCATACCGAGCCTCGAACTCATGAGCGTTATAGCATTATTATAACAATTAGGAACGAAACCAATCTGACATCGAGCCACTTCAGCTAGAATTTATTTAAAAAAAATCAAATTTTTGGCTTTTATAGAAGAAAGGCATTGACTTCCTTTACCTTCTTGGCTATGTTGCTAAGTGAAAAACTAAGGAACCTGCTAATAAGTGGTAGCCATAGCATTGCAGGATGTATCAACCATAACAAAATGGCAAGCAGTAGTGTTTCCAGAAACATTAGCAATGTTCCTCAAATGAATCCTTAAATTTGTTTTTTTCAGAGCTCGAAGTCGACATGACTCCATACAAAATTTCATCGACTTCGAGCTCTGGTTTTTTTTCTCTCAAAAATTTTGCAAAATTTAATTAAACTTTGATTTTCATGCAGGTAATTGGATCCATTTGAACATGATAGCTGTGACTCCTACGACTCTTATCAGATAGATAGATAGAGGAGCGGGAGGGAGGAGGGAGAAGATTTTCTAATTAACCTCCCATCACAGTTACATGATTGAATGCAAGGCATTGAGTTTGAATCCAATTGAACCTTATTTACAGCCTTCTTTTGTAAAACATGCTCAAAGACCCAGTTACATTTGAATATCCCCAAAAATTACATTATTTCAATATTTATCTCAAACACTACATTTTAAGTTTCAGCATTTATGTTCTGAACACAAAGATTTTTTTCTCTTCTCCATATACCTATTTAATAGTAATTAAGGTTTGCAGCAGTAGAGAAAACTCATACAATGAATAATTTATTTCGATAAAGTGCATTCTGGTCGAGTTTATAAATAATATAAAGGAACATCTGCATCATCCGAGTAAGTTTTATAGAAAAAAGTTTTCATTTACACATGCAAACAAGCACCAACATACAAACATACTCAAATATAAAGAATATATTGAAATGAATGATAAAGTTATATGTACATATGGACATGTGGAAACTCTCATGTGGCATAATCATTACGTCATTAGACTTTCTTATAACGTGACCTTTGCAATAAATGAAGGAGGAAAGGAAAAATAATTTAGTGCTTGAATGATTGTGTGGAAAGTAAATGAATATTCTTGGAAAATAAAAGTTGTTTTTCTAGTCAGAAGGTTATGATTTCTCGGGAGTAAGACAGATAAGATCACAATCGGGAAAATGTTGAGCTAGTCAAGAGAGTTGGTTAACATTTAAGATTACGAGACTCTGTCAGTGCGAGAGTAGGGCCTCTATAGCTCAGTGGATAGGAAGGCGAACGGGAACTTTGTTTTCCTAGATTGAGAGAACCTGGGTTCAAATCCTACCGAATATGTCAACACGATAATAACGACAGAATTAAAATCAATTGTTGAAAAATGTTTTTTAGCTTTAACAATACGTCAACAACTTGGAATCCTAAGCAATTCCATTTTATATTAAGCATTGATTTCCATGAAAATGACAACAAACCCTGTAAATTGGGTTACTAGCGTTCTTAAAATGAAAAAAGCTTGAATGTTTGTTCTGCAAATATTACTCTTGCAAAAAATGAATGAAGTCAATCCTTTCTTGAGGCATTTTTGGTCTGGATGTTTCATTTTAAAGACATTTTCAGCTTTTACAATTTTTATTATCATTTCAAAAAAAAAGAGTTTGATGCGTAAAAAAAGTTCGAATAAGCTGGTTGGCGAATCACTTAATTACTGCCTTGAGCAGTTCATTTACAACTTTATTTTCCCTTTTTTGATTCACAAAGTCATTAACCGGAAATTTGATAAACCACCCATCATGAACCGTTCCATCACTTTAATCAACGGATTTTTACCATAAAAATAAAAAAAATCTCCCCCTTTTCATAACTGTGGCTTCAAAGACACTTTTCAGGCACGATTTGAATAAATTATTCTATAAATTTTACTCGCTATGCGTCTATTGTGTATATCTCATCCATTCTTCTTGCTGTTGCTAATTTATTTATTTTTGGAATGTTTACTACATAGTGTGTAAAATAGGAATGAAAACTTGGCAATTTATTACTCATCTTCTTGCCTACTCTAACCGTCACTTTTATTGTTCTTAATTTATTTTGTAACAAGTAAGGTGCTTTTGTTATTCGCAGTTAAAATAAGCAAAAAATGTTAATAAATTTACAAAAACACGCTTTTATAAAAAAGACTAAAAATCAAAAACTCGAAAATAAAATAAGATCATACTTTTAGCAAATCAGGATTTTAAAAGTTTTCTTGTGACATCTAGAAATGTAACATAATTTTTTTTCAAAATATTGTGATTAAGTCCAAGAACACAATGACTCTAAAAGCGTGGGGCGTAATTTAAGGATGAATTTCTTAGTTCAGCTAAGTTTTTAAATAAGAGAAGCGTCAAATCTCAAAGCCCCATGCTTATAAGTTATAAAGAATGCTAATATAGATATAAAATCGATATTTTTTTTGAAAAAAGCCTACTATGATCGAAATCAAAAATGCTTTAAATTGCGTTTTAAAACATATCTAGGTATCATAAATGATATTGAATGCTAATATAGACATAAAGTACATTAAAAATGAATCTTGGAGATTTTGGAATTATTTGTACCAATCCTACTGCATAACGTGTTGATTCCTAACATAAAGATGCAAATCACATCTATTTTTAACGTATTTATAACGGATTTTTCAAATTTAAATTCAATGAATGTCATTTATATGTTATGCAAAAATACGTCAAGCCTTTAATAAATAGAAAAGTCAATTTAATAAAATTGGTAAAGTGTTATAAATAAATGCTACACTCGTTTACGACTTGAAAGTAAATAAAAGAATATACGTTACTGCGCCTGAATGTTCAGGTGCATATAAGTAATTGTAACGAGTAATTTGAATCGAGTGCAGACGTTACAAATGATATGTAAATAAGAAATTGTATAATATAATTAATCATTAGTTTTAAGATAGTTTAACCAATTAACAATTATTCTAAATAGTAGATTTAATGTAGAAATTAAGGAATCATTCTTAAAATGCATGAATTAGTTAAGTTTCCTATATCTGTTAATAATTACAATAAAAGCTGTCGTTTCTGTCAACGACAATAATAAATCATATAAATGACTTTTGAGCATTTCAAGTATAATATTTTAAACAAATCAAAATTTTATGTCATTGACATTGGATTTTTCTCCCACATAAAAAAGTTTTACTTAAATTATACTATAATTAAACATTTTTGTGATTCCAAAGTGTTAAAATATTGTATTGTCGCCGGGAATACGTGTGTATACAAAATTTGAGCTCAATTGGAGCAGGAGAAGTGGTCAAAAAATCGATTGCAATATTTGAACGTGACCAACAGAGCATTTAATGAAAAGCGTGCAACAAAAAATACTTTATAAAAAAAACTTTTTAAAAAAACTACGTTTTTCGCGTAGACTAAAAAGTAGAAAATAACTTTTATTCTTGGTTGTAAAGAATTTGGTTTTAAATTTTCAGATTATATTTAATAAATTTTTATATCCTAGTCAATATTGTTCACAAAGTTTCGAATAAGTGCACTTTGATCTTATCGTATAACTCAACAACTTAAAAACGTGGGCGCATTATAAGAGGAGAAATAAGTTTATGTGAAATCAATACTTTATGATAAACTTAAATTAATGCGCCCACGTTTTTAAGTTGTTGAGTTATACGATAAGATCAAAGTGCACTTATTCGAAACTTTGTGAACAATATTGACTAGGATATAAAAATTTATTAAATATAATCTGAAAATTTAAAACCAAATTCTTTACAACCAAGAATAAAAGTTATTTTCTACTTTTTAGTCTACGCGAAAAACGTAGTTTTTTTAAAAAGTTTTTTTTATAAAGTATTTTATTTTTTACTTTTTAGTCTTATTCTAATGATACAGAGAAATAAAGATTATAGGGGGTTTATAAGTTACAGGTGTGTTGAACTTCACTTCGTTGCACTTCGTTACGTTCAACTGTTTATAGATTACAGTAGGTTTATAGGTTTCAGGTGTGTTGAACTTCACTTCTTTGCACTTCGTTACGTTCAACTGTTTATAGATTACAGTAGGTTCATAGGTTACAGGTGTGTTGAACTTCACTTCGTTGCACTTCGTTACGTTCAACTGTTTATAGATTACAGTAGGTTCATAGGTTACAGGTGTGTTGAACTTCACTTCGTTGCACTTCGTTACGTTCAACTGTTTATAGATTACAGTAGGTTTATAGGTTACAGGTGTGTTGAACTTCACTTCGTTGCACTTCGTTACGTTCAACTGTTTATAGATTACAGTAGGTTCATAGGTTACAGGTGTGTTGAACTCCACTCCGTTTCACTCCGTTTCGTTCAACTGCTTATAGATTACAGTAGGTTTATAGGTTACAGGTGTGTTGAACTCCACTT